ATCTTTGAGGGAATGGCAATCAACATATTCCATCCTTATTGGCTGTGGGTGCCACCATCTTTGAGGAGGGAAGTCAATAAGCATATTCCCTCCTTATTGGTTGTGGGCACTGCCATCTTTGTAATGGTGTGAGGGTCAATTAGCATATTTCCTCTTTATTAAATAGAAGATAAGCCGAATATTTAAGAAATTGCCAATAATGGAAAAATGGACTTAAATTTTTAAAATGAGTATTTCTGCCCTAGCTGGTTTGGCTTAGTGCAGTGGTTGGCAAACTCATTAGTCAACAGAGCCAAATATCAACAGTACAATGATTAAAATTTCTTTTGAGAGCTGAAAACCGACTTCTGCTCATGGACCATGAAGTTTCAATTGCACTGTACATGTGTGTGCATCTGCATGTGGTATTTTGTGGAAGAGCCACACTCAAGGGGCAAAAGAGCCGTATGTGGCTCTCGAGCCGCAGTGTGCCAACCACTGGTTTAGTAGATAGAGCCATCAGCCTGTGGACTGAAGGGTCCTGGGTTTGATTCTAGTCAAGGGCACATGCCTCGGTTGTGGGCTCGATCCCCAGTATGGGGCATGCCAGAGGTAGCCAATCAGTGATTCTCCCTCATCACTGATGTTTCTGTTTCTTTCTCCCTCTCCCTTTCTTTCTGAAATTAATAAAAATATATTTTAAAAAGTAAAAATAAAAATGAGTATTTCCTGAAGGTATAAAAACTCTTCTTAAACATTAACATTAATCCTTGCATTATGCCTCAAAAATATTAATATTGTTTCTACTTTCCTATATACATAATGCAGTGAGAAATGTCATCATGATATATGGTGAGCTTATGCCCTAAAGCTTGTACCAAACGTATAACTCTGGTGATGATTTATTTGGTTAGAGTTGTATCTCATTGTTTGTAACTTCTATTTTTTTGATAACTAGGGAAGTTATTTTCTCATGGGTTCATTAATGTTTTGATTATTTTTTGCATTAGGAATCCATACTTAACTTTTACTAAAACATGTTATTGCCCCCAAAAGTAAATTGTAAAACTTTGACATATATATATTTTTAATGCTTTCATGATAGCTGTCCTTGTGGTTCTTCCTGAGGACTGGATTAAGTTTATAGACAGCAGTCACTCATGGGTGATCAAATTTGATGTCTTAAAGGCACAGCTCATTAAACCCTCCCCTCTCCCGTGCCCCAGATAGGAATAAGGTGCAACTGGCAGCTTATATATGTACATGGTTGTTCCCTTTTAGAGCACAAATTACTTTGAAAATATTTCTAGAGGAAGAGAGTGAATTTAATGCTCACTGTGGTAGCGAGGGAAACATACTTCGAACCCCAAGAACCATTTCCCGTCTCCTCTGGAACCTCAGATGCTTCTGGATCTTTCAGCAAAGTGACAGAGTGCAGGCAGCTGTCCTTGGGCTGTCAGGTCTGTGTCACAATGACTGAATCACTTAAAAAGAAAAAGAAAAAAAATTGCTGCTCAAAATAACTGAGATCAAAGGTGTCCTCCTGCCTGAGCCTGTGAGCGGAAAGACTGAGCGAGGGAAGATCCTCTAGATGCGATGCTCTCAAGTACTTGGCTAATTTTCAAGGAATTATGCAAGTTGAGTGGGAGCTGCTGTCCCCGCTGCTGTACTTTCGCAGCGGCGTGTGGGCTGCTTTGCGTGTCCTCTTTTCTTCTGCAGTGGCCGTGACACCAGGCATACTCAGGAGAGCGATTCCTCTCACCTGTCCCAGCCTGGGCTGAGAGGTCATTTGAGGACCTCAGGCAAGCATGTGACCCGTCGCTCTGCACACCCGTCCTGGGTGCAGTCCCAGGTCCTGAGCCCGAGCCTGACTTTTTCCTGTAAACCCCCATCCCCACCCCTACCCCCGTCAGCATCAGTTCCCAGCAGCACTCAGTGCCCGGTGGGGCTGAGCCAGGAGGAAGCAGGGAGCCAGCAGGGAAGAGTGGGAGGTGGGGTGCAGCATGGAAACAGAGTCCGATAAGTTAGAGGCCAAGTTCGAACGAGGGTCCGTTCCAAAGAGGCGCTAGGAACTCTGGAAACCCACTGGGGAGGGTGGTGGCCCGGAGGTAACAGCCAGGCCTGGAGGGGGCTGGGTAGGAGTTCAGGCTCTGAGGCTAAAGCACAGAAACCAACCGTGCCAAACCGAGGACTTCCTGGGACAGGCAGATGAAGGTGGCTCCGGGGACTGGGCGGCCCCAGGGCCTCGGGGGCAGGCGCCCACGGATGGCTCTCGGAGGCACTGTCGCAAGGACGAATCCACGTCGATGGCTTTTGTTACTTCACTCGAGATTGAGGTCCATGTCTCCACCCCTTCTCTGCTCAGCAGTATTATTAGTGCTTATGGTCAGCGCTGCTTAGGCATGGATGTGGCATCGGTGAAAAAAAGGTCCTTGTTCTCATGGAAATAACATTCCAGTGGGAGAGACAGACAATAAGCAACTACACAAATGTCATGCGGGATGGTGCTGTGTGCCAGAGTGCAAACTCTAGCACGGTAGGGTGACAAAGAGCAAGGGGGTGAGGGGTGGGGTGCCATGTGTGTATTTACACATGTAACATATAACACATATACCAAACATAGTAAAATAGTATAGTTATATAGCTATACATATATGAAAATATCATACATATAACATACATATAGTTATAAACAGTAAAGTTCTATAGGTATTCATACATGTACATATGTCTGTTACTGAGAGTGATACTGTTGGGCTTATAATGAAGATGTTTTTCTGATTACACAGCTGAATTTTTAAAAGCTCCACCTGCGTCTCATGACGTAGCTCAGGTTCACGGGCTCCCCGTCAGTGGGTGACACGGGCTACACCAGCACAGCCACATGGGCATCCTGGTGTTGGGAGACCTGCGCCCAGCGCCCCGGGCACACAGCGTTTGGCAGAAACGCCCCTTCTCGTCTGGGTCTGTGAGACGGCCTCTTTCGTGCCAGAGGCACTATTTCGGGAAGATGATTCATGTCCCATTTTGGCCTCATTACAGTTCTAAGTTGTATATGGTGCTGGTTCGCCTGGAGGTGTAAACACACATTTTATCTTCACACGCACACGGGAATGCCTGCGTCTGGGAGAGTCCTTTCTATTCCCGAGTCCCGTTTCAGGCTGTAAACAGGGAGGCCAGCAGGATATTTACCAGAACGAGTTTTACTTGATGAGAAGCAGGCTTCTGAGAGAATGCCAGCCTCTGAGGTGCGCCTCCTCCAGGCTGCACTTCCACGCACAGATGGGGAAGTGCAGGAACCTGACGTCTTATTGCCACAAGCAGGCGATTCTGTAAAACAAACACTCCCTGCTCGTGCTCTGCTGCATGGTGTGAAAAGTGCAAGCAGGTGCTAAGGGGCTGTCTGTAGCTCTAAGTAACAGAAGGGACAGGATTATTCAAGGTTTATTCAGGTGCAGGCATTCTGATTATCCCAGTTTGCTCTTGGTGAATACAGTTTTATTGAAAGGACATGGCAAACCACTCATTTCTTCAGTGACTAACATGCACGATGGTGCCGGAAGTGAGAAGCATGTAGCATCTGTGTTTATCATTCCTGAAAAGTGTTGATTGATTCGTCCTCGAGTACCTGGGTTTCATCAGGACAGACGCTGGGTTTGGAGTGCGGCTAGATTTCTCTATGACTTTCAAGGAATTTCATATCCTGCCTCAAAATTTAAAAGTCGGGGAAATATTATTTGCTTAAATATTTTTAAATCATGGACAACGGATTTGTTACTTTTTGCTTTAAGCCCATATTGATGGTGAAAAAATTTTAAAGTGTATTTCTATTTATCTCATGAAGGGAGAGAGAGATAGAAACATCAATGAGAGAGAATCACTGATTGGCTGCCTCCTGCACACCCCACACTGGAGATGTAACCCGCAATTGGGGCTTGTGCCCTGACTAGGAATTGAACCGTGACCTTCCAGTTCATAGGTCAACACTCAACCATTGAGCCATGCTGGCAAGGCTGATGGTGACATTTTTTGAATAGAATGACAACCTTTCTGATCTACTGACAGTAAAACCCCAGCCCCTGCCCGTTTGGACATGTGCTTTATAAATTATTTTCTAATTCAGCTGTGGGTTGGTGCTTTCTACTTGGGTTCTAACTCAGGCCACTTAAAAAGATTTAGTAATCTGCCGAAACTGGTTTGGCTCAATGGATAGAGAGTCGGCTTGGGGACTGAAGGGTCCCGGGTTCGATTCCGGTCAAGGGCATGTACCTTCATTGCGGGCATATCCCCAGTAGGGGGTATGCAAGAGGCAGCTGATCGATGACTCTCTCTCATCGATGTTTCTCTCTATCTCTCTCCCTTCCTCTCTGTACAAAATCAATAAAATATATTAAAAAAAAAGATTTAGTAATCTTTAAGATTCCTCAGTTAACAGTAAACCAAACTCATTGTGAGATCTTTGATTCTAAAGTGGTGACTTGAAAATATTAGTGATCTGAGGGTGATTTAAGAAGGTTTGCCTATCCAACTAAATCCAGCTTCATGGCAAAATCTGGCCTTGAATTCCCTCAACCTGTTAGAATCTTCTGTGACAAGAGACATCTACCCTCCCCCCTCCCCCCCCCCATATTGTTGAGACTACCTATTATATTCTATTGGTTATTCAATGACCACCTCATTAACCACCCATGTCTGTACTTTCAGAAATGTAAACTGCATGGGTCTGGGGTATGTCCTGAGCCCTTATATTAAAAAATAGAGAAAATCAACCAAAAAGTTCTTCAAATGATTTGCATGCTCTAACAGTACAACAGGCAACAGTTAAACAAAGGGCATGATTTGAAACCCAAATATCAACATAGACACAATCCCTAAAGCTCTCAAAAGAGGGAATCTTTCCATCCCCTTTTGGAAGTTGTTAGCTGGGTAAAACTGTGACTTCTGCATGGTCTGACTGAAACTGGACGATGGAGCGCCCGGAGCAGGCCGCTTACTTCACCTTTCCCCTTCTGTCTTCTCAGCCATCATGTATGTCATGGGAGCTCTTGGCCCTGCGGTGGGATACTTATTAGGTGGACTTCTTATTGGTTTTTATGTTGATCCCAGAAATCCTGTGCAACTTGACCAGAATGACCCTCGTTTCATTGGAAACTGGTAAGAACTGTTTACTAAATTTTTCATTTCATTTTTTGTTAACGACAGAGTCACAGTAGCTTTGTAGTTAATATAAAAACTTCCCCAGGGGGGGATCTGAAAGATAGCCAAAAGTCACTGAGGAGGGGGTAGTAGGCAAAATGATAATCTCTCCAAGTTCTCTATATCCCAGTCCCCAGGATTTTGGAATGAGTCACCTTTTCCTGGCAAAGGGGACTTTGTAGGTGTGATTAAGTTAAGGATCTTGAGATGGGGAGATTATCCTGGGTGATCCCGGTGGGCCCAATATAATCACAAGAGTCTTTACAAGGAAGAGAAGGAGGGAGGTCAGAGTAAGAAAAGGTGACCTGCCGAAACCAGTTTGGCTCAGTGGATAGAGCGTCAGCCTGCAGACTGAAGGGTCCCAGGTTTGATTCCGGTCAAGGGCAAGTAGTACCTTTGTTGCGGGCACATCCCCAGTAGGGGGTGTCAAGAGGCAGCTAATTGATGACTCTCTCTCATCGATGTTTCTAACTCTCTCTCTCCCTTCCTCTCTGTAAAAAAATCAATAAAATATATTAAAAAAAGAAAAAGAAAAAATGAAAAAGAAAAGGTGACCTGGTGACTGAGGCAGAGGTTGGCATCATGTGCTTTGAAGAGGGAGGAAGGGATCATGGGCCATGGAGCGAAGGTGGGCTCTGGAAGCTGGACAGGCGAAGAGGTAGGAGCTTCCTAGACCCTCTTGAAGAAACACAGCCTTGCCGGCCCATATTAGACATCTGACCTCCAGGACTGTAAGATAATACATTTGTGTAATTTATAGCAGCACGAGCAGACTGATACAGACATTTTGGGAATAACAGCTTAATCCCCATTTTTCAGGATGGAGGCTGTTGGTTCCTTAATCACAGAATGAGGGAAAGGGTGATAGGGCTGTGTTGGGACTTTCCTGTGTCCTCAAATCAAAGCTTTCACGATCTTTTCTGTGCCTTGAACATCGCCCCTCCCCACTGTCTTACGATATTGTGTTTATGCTTTGTCATCCCTCTCCCCACTGCCCGGAAATCCAGCTCTACATTCCCATCGGCACAGGCAGCGAATCTCTTCACTCGGGAGCAGTTTGTTCCCCCTGAGAGGAGGGTGAGTTACTCACTCACTTGCACACCCTTAGCTGTCATGTTTAGGACGTAGAGAATGAGGACTCCTCTTACTTATTCAGATAGCCAGGGCTTTGATTGAGCACTCCACAGCCCTCCACTTGGACGTGAGTTCTTTTTTCATGATTGTGAGCACCAGAAAGTACTGTCCTACATTCATCTAACATGCATTAGTAATAGGCGTACGTTGATGAGAAATGTTCATTTTATTCAATATACCAAGGAGAATACTGCAGTATCAGACATTAGTGTGAGTAGTTTCTAAAGGATTTCTTAGAGAACTGTGTTCTGTGCTTCATCACAAGATAATAACCTCATAACTCGGAAGTATGTGGAAATAATGCTCCACACTATTATTTTCAAAGCAGTTACAAGTAATTAGGCTACCGGACACTTCTTATTCTCCTAAGTGATGCTCTCTGAGGATGGAAGTGCTAAAGTCTAGGTGAGCTGGGCTCGGTGGAATTTTGAAATTATACAGAAGGAAGTTCCCTTGTCAGCATGAGGGGAATAACACAGGAGTTTTCGGTGCTTGACTGATAGTGAAAGTTTTGGACTCAACCACTGTTTTCTTTGCAGTTTTGAAATAAATCAGAATAAGAGCCTTTTTGTTTTGTTCTCAGAAGACTGAATTATTGAACCATATTTATCAACTTCCAGTGTGTGAACTGTGTTCTATGTAGCTGTTCATATGAAGAACAAGAAGGGGACATCTGGTGGAGAGAGAGGCAAAGAGGACGAACGAGAGGGCCGAGAGAAAGAAGGCGGCAGGAGCTGTCAGCGTTCACGTGCTTTAGGCCATCTTTAGAAAGTTTCCTCATAGACACCAACCCCACTGTCTGCAAAGTGGAGTGTTTAAGAGTGAACCCATAGTTTAAACCCATAGTCCCCTGGGTTTACACTCCAGTCTGCCACTGAATAGCTGAGTGACCTTAGGGAGGTTAATTCACTTCTCTGTGTCTCAGTTGTTGCTATTGTTTTTTAAACCTGTAAAACGGGAAATGGTTGCAGTACTATTTTACCGGGTTGTTGTGAGGAATGAATGAGTCTATGTATGTAGAGCTCTAAATAGTTCTTGCTATATGATGTTTTAGTTATTATTCATTCCTTTGTATTTCATCCATGTTCAAGTAGTTTCATTCATTTTAAAGGCCCGTTATTAGTTCTACAAATGATAAAATTCCTCCATATAGAAATTTAAAAATGAATTTTGTTTATTGAAATGCCCTGTTTGTAAGACTTCTACCTTGAGCAAAGACATAGTTATTTGATACAATGTTATTTTATCCCATGCCTAGCAGAGTGATATTTTTTTTTCCAGTAAATAAATATTGAAAGAGTGAAGAAATGAATAATGCTAACATTTATTAGGCACTCTCTCTGTGTCAAGCATCATACTAAGAGCTTTACACACTTTTCACTTAAGCCTTACAACAACCATGAGGAAAACGGATGCTCAGCGATTTGAATACCTGCCCCAAAGCTTCAGAGCCAGCGAGAGCTGGGGTAAACTGAGTCAGGGTGGAGGTCTTAGTTATACTTAACTGGCCCTTTTAGTGAACAGTCTGCTCGCAGTAATGGTACGTAAAAAAGACTTAAGTACCCTGGCTTTTCAGTTTTGACTCTTATTTATGTTTCTTTTCCCAACACATGATGCACACTCTCGTCTTAGCTGCCTTTTCTCTGAGTTCTCTTCAGCGCCATCATTATGTATGTGTTAACAACCATTTGTGACTGTGGATCATGAAGAATGTAGGCTGCTTTGCTCTGCTTAGAAATGTCCCCAAACATTTATACTGTTTATTCACTATAACTCTTCCCCTTCTTCTATATGTGCTCTCACTCTGAGCTACTACAAGTGTATCTTTAATGTTTGCATATAATTTTAAGGCAGTGGCTCTGGCTGGGGGTGTGGGAGCCCAAGTGCAGATCTACATGCAAACAAACGAAACAAGCTACTGTGAAGTGACTGCTGACGGAGCAGGCATTTTGTTAGGCTCCCTTTGCATGCTGTCTTACTGATTTTGATGACTCCCAAAACAGTTTTAATTAATTAATTTATTTTGTATAGCAAAGGTGGAAATTTATTTACTATTTTAAAAATATATATTTTATTGAATTTTTTACAGAGAGGAAGAGAGAGGGATAGAGAGAAACATTGATGAGAGAGAATCATCAATCAGCTGCCTCTTGCACACCCCCTACTGGGGCTGTGCCTGCAACCAAGGTACATGCCCTTGAATGGAATCGAACCTGGGACTTTTCAGTCCACAGGCTGATGCTCTATCCACTGAATCAAACTGGTTTCGGCATATTTTTTATTTTTTTTAAAGGTGGAAATTTACTAAAGAACAAGTACAGACTCCCACGTGGGGAACGGGAAAGAATCTCACAGCACAGACTCCCACGTGGAGAGGGGGAAAAGAGTCCCTACTCCAGAAAAGTTTTTATTACCCTCTTTCAGATGAGAAAGTGGGTTCGGAAAAGCAAAATATAAGGTCCCTAGGACCTGAGAGCTAGTGAGTGGTAAAGACCGGATAAGAACCCAGGTCTGTCTGAAGCCACCGCTCAGAGAACTGTCTCTGAGGCTACGCTGCCTGCCCTCTTGTGGAGAGAGCATGAGAGGTCTAGGGAACTGGAGGTGGGGGAGACTGAATGTCAAGTTTGCAGAAAGAGATTCAAGGAAGGCTGCTGTGCAGGGCCAGGTGAGTGAAGGCCTCGTGAGCAGCCAAGTACCAAAGGGGCTAGAAAATATAATAACTCTGTTTCCTGCAGACAACTGATTTTATTTTTTAAAAAGCTATTTCATTCAATGTATTTATTCAAGACATTTTTTTTCACTACCCAAATCTGTGTCAGGCCCTGGGGTCATGATTATATTCTGAATAACTGAGATTGTGACAAGTCTGTCCTGAGCCATCTTCTTAAAACAAAGCCGCCTTCTGATTGTCCTAAAATCTTGATGTAACTTTAAATCTGTTTGAAAATAGCACACTGGATTTACTAATGACTTGCTCTAGGAATGATTCTCTCAGCTAACCTACGACCTTTACTACTTTTATAAATGAATTTTCACTTTGCAGTTGATCTGTATTCTCACTGGGTTCCATCCAACACTCATGCTTAGAATGCTGCTTGCGTTCTGGTTACAGCCGACAGGGTGTTGATACAGAGGATGGAGTCTGAGCGTTCTTGAACTTGGAAGCTCTAAGGACACAGTTTGGAGTTGAGGAATCCTCCTTAGAAAGAGCTGCTCTGTTAGGTAGAACCAGGACTATTTGCTAAGGAAAGGTTGAAAGGGGACTGAGGGATTACCTCTGGAGTATTGTGCAAGCAGGAAGCCCAAGACCACAAACACAGAACTCTACTGCAGGGCTCGAGGTTGACGGCTACTCTGTATTTGCTTCCTAGTTTCTGCAGCAAGGCAACCTCAGATGGGTTCCAAGACAGTCTCGGTTCTACAACACTCAATTCTACATCCCCTAAGTGTCTTTCGGACATACATTTTCTCTCTCGGAACTGTTAATAGGATTCATGCTCTATCCCACCTGATCTAACAAGTAATTATACACATTCTTGCATTTCCTGGATATATTTAGCTTACTTGTAACTAGATTGTAATTCTTTCCTTCTTTCTTTATAATTAATTAATTTATTTGTTTTAAAAATATATTTTATTTATTTTTCACAGAGAGGAAGGGAGAGGGATAGAGAGTTAGAAACATCAATGAGAGAGAAACATCAATCAGCTGCCTCCTGCACACCCCCACTGGGGATGTGCCCGCAACCAAGGTAGATGCCCTTGACCGGAATTGAACCTGGGGCCCTTGAGTCCGATGTTCTATCCACTGAGCCAAACCTGTTAGGGCTAGGTTGTAATTCTTGAAGTAAGGATCAGATGAAATGTCATTGGTGGCTAAGTATAGAGAGGACCAGCTAAGAGTGCTCAATATATTAAGTGCTTGCAGAAAAATATTTTAGTGTCAATCAGCAATACATTAGAGACAAGATAGTAATGGTTTTCTTCTAAGAAAAAAAAGTGTCAACAAAGCATGCTATAGAGTCTGTATTATTTTTTTAATTAAATTTGAGTTGTTTTGGTTTATTATGAAATATACATTGTAGCAGGACTAACACATATGTGCTTAAAAATACTTGAATGAAATTCTAGGTTGTTTATTATGTTTATCATGCATGTAATTATTGGGTGGATTTCTCATTTATCCCACAGAAAGGGAGGATTCCTATATTTTCTTTAGTTTGTTCAACCCCCTCCTGTTTAAGAATTTATGAGGGTCGAAGGTTTTCTTCCTGGAGAATTTTGTCACCACAAACTCCTACTTCGTTAATTTGTTCTCATTCTCAAAGCAAAAGCCATAAATGCTATTCACATTTCCCACTTTTTTAGGTGGAGTGGATTCCTCCTTTGTGCCGTTGCAATGTTTCTTGTGATATTCCCAATGTTTACTTTTCCAAAAAAGCTTCCTCCTCGACACAAGAAGAAGAAAAAGAAAAAATGCTCTGATCATGCTGTTAGCGATGACGACATTGTGAAGGAGAAATCAAATAATCATGAGCTCGGGGACAAAAAAGTTTCTTCTATGGGATTTGGAAAGAATATCAGAGGTAAAGTATGTCTTTTGAATAAATATATGCCTGGTACTTCCAATCAGTGTGACTCAGACTGTGGTCCCAGGCCAGTGCTGCCCACAGCTGTTACTGGTCTGAGATGAGATCAGTGCTGAAATCAAAAGTATTGGGAAACTTTTAAAGAAATTTGACAGTCATTTTATGCCTGTTGAATCTAATAGAGATAATAAAAATTGGGTTTATATTTTGTACATATTTTTAAAAAATTTAAAAATATTTCAGATTGGAAGGGAGAGGGAAAAAGAGAAACATCAACGATGAAAGAGAATCATTGATCAGCTGCCTCCTGCACACCCTACACTGGGGGTTGAGCCTGCTACCCGGGCCTGTGTCCTGACCAGGAATTGAACCTTGATCTCCTGTTCATAGGTTAACATTCAACCACTGAACCATGCCAGTTGGGCTAAAAATTTATTTTCTTAATTTTTAAATGGATTTTGCAAAAAAGTTAACAGTACATGATAGACTGGAAGTAATAATAATAAAATAATTGTTCCCCACAGGTAGTTTGAGAAGCACTGATTTAGATACAAAGATTCATTTCTATATATCATTTACTATATTTAGAGATGTCTGATTTTTAAAAATACTTACTGCATTATATAATGGATGATTTGTGTCAGGGGAATGGTGGGTTTGGTATTTTGGCCTGATTTAAATATAAAACCTAGCTTTAGACAGGGATCTTATTCAACAGTGGCTCAGCCAAGTGCTTGTAAGTGGACAGAGAGAAGGCAAGTAGAGGCAGACCTCCCAACCCAGTGTAAAAACATCCAGAAAGTCTCAGTGAGTGTACTGGTCTGTTTTTTTCATTTTTATTTCTCTTAAAAATAATGACTCATTATAGCTAGATTAGGCAATCACAAACCTAACCAATTTAAATCTCAGCCAGCCTGTCTTTGTCCAGTGGTCAGAAATATCTGTTGGGTGGCAAGAAATCCCTGCACTCCCATTAGCTTTTGCTATTTCCTGAATTTCCTGAAACATTTTTCATGAAATTATGAAGCACGATCTGTGTCAAATGTTTACTCTTTTAGGGAGAATGTACCTACGCACAATATCACCCCACATTGACCACAAACACAGGAAAGCAAAGAGATACCCTCTGGGCCTAGACAAAGTTGCTCCTACTTCATGGAACTATTCCTGCAGCCTCAGAACAATTACGTTTTGATCGGATTATTTTCAATGGCCACATTTGTTCAAAGCAAGCCAAGTGGCATTTCACTGGACATACTTCTTTCCTGTTAAGTTTTTAGATTGGCCTCCCCACCCCTGTCTTCCTTTTCTGACAATGTGTGTTTTGGAACTGCCAAAATGACTTCTACTCTCATAAAGAATTCTCTGGATGCCTGAGTTCTTACCCCATGGACCAGCCCATCGCTTTTCATGTATGTTATTATGGACTATTATGGTTGCTACCAAAAGAGTGATTTAAAAAAAAAAATAGTTGAGATCAAGGTTGATGTTGAAGAACTTACAATACAGGAGCAGACTCAGAATCTTATCTTACGGAGAGTGTAAAGTAGATTCAAGGGGAGAACTAAAGACATAGGTAAGCTAAAACTGTATGTTTGATAGCTTAGGAATAGATGACCTGAAATATATGCTGTGTTGTACAGTAGAGAAAAGAGAGAGAAGATTGATACCAAATACGAACAGCAGAAACTACTGTTGATGGGAACAGCCTTCTTCTGGGGGATGCTGTTGGGGCTCCATCCTCCTTCCAGACCTCTCTGACTTTTTGGTGGAGGCCATCCACCAGTACTTACATCATTTGCCTGAAGGTTTTCTTTGCAGGCAGGGAATCTGCTGGGCTCCTGCTTGAGACAGGTTCAAGTGCAAAGGAATGAACACCTCCCCCTCCCTTCTCCCCCCCCCCCCCCCCAAGCAAAGCAGTCTTAACCATGGCTCATGATCACCCAGCTCATGGGCCAGACAGCTCTTCATCCTTTGTAGGCTGAGCTCACTGCCCAGCACCATGTCCACGTTCCCTGCCCCGTGTTTCCCGAATCTCCCAAATATACAACTTGGGCTTGAATCCTTATCTTAGGACCTGCTTTTAGTGAGGGACATGCAGTCAGGCAGGCAGATTCAAAAGTGATAGAAGTCATCACAAAATTATTTTTTCAGAATTGAATCTATGCATCATGCTGCTCGGGGTGGCTTCCTGTCATCTTTTTGATGCTCAGTATCATGGCTCAGGATACCTTTTTTATAAAAGAAAGAATAAGAGGAGTCTTACAACATCTGTTTCTATTCTGATTTTCTTGTCAGTATCTCTGATAAATCCTCAACTTTCTCACCCTACTCTCTGCCTTAATGCTGATGACTGATGTCACTTCTGCAGCCAAAACCTCCTGATTCAGACATAGAGCTGGTTCCTTTCATTACTTCCACTTGTCCTGGATTCCCTAATTGTATCTAGACTGGCACCTCCAGAGGCACCTTTGCTTGTGAAAAAGGAATCCTATTTTAATGGGCTGATAAAGTGAAAATGTTTTGCTAAAAGTGATTCAAATGATAATATTAGAATAATGTTCTGTTAGAATATATGGAGTTAATTCATATTTATCTTGCATGTATTGACTTCCTTTAGAGTAATACCTACACCTATGGGAAATGAAATCAGACCTATAGTATAATATTTAAACTGATTTTCAAGAGAGCAAATAAAAGTGTGGGAGAATAATTTGATTGTTGACATAATTCATGTTACAAAGCCAACATTCATTATTAAGGTCTTAAATTAAAAAATGGTTACTAAGATTTCCTTTGAGTTAAATCTGAGCTTGATTCCAAGATCTTTTTTTCCCTTGTTTTTTCTTTAAAAGATGTATTTTTATTGATCTTTAGAGAGAGAGAAAGGGAGAGAGAGAGATAGAAACATTGATGAGAGAGAAACATTTATTGGCTGCCTCCTACTGGGGATCAAGTCCACAACCCCAGCATGTGCCCTGACCGGGAATCAAACCGTGACCTCTTGGTACATGGGTTGACACCCAACCACTAAGCCACCAAAACACTGTTCTCCCTTGTTCTGTTTTCTGAGGTAGGGCTTCTTAGGGTCTTTTGCCAACAGGGTTGGGCAAAAGTAGGTTTATAGTTGTGAGTATGGGAAACACAATGTTTATTCTTGTATTACTTACTAATTGTATTATTTTTCATATGAACAACTGTAAACCTAACTTTGCCCCACACCGTATATGGAATTTGGATACTAATATTTGCTTCTTTAGAGAGGAAGGTGGAAAGAAAGCTCAGTTAAAACTTCCTTAAAAAGAAAATCATTTGGGCCATACTGAATGGCACCCTTATGGAAAGTTCTACCACCGAGAATACTAGAAGAAAATGTGCAATACTTTCCACCCCACCTCCACACTGTAATGATAGACATTGGGAATATCTGACTCGGTGTTTCTTGATTCTCGTTATAAATTATGCAGGAATAAGGCTGTTTTAAAACACCGCAAAGGAGAAAAATAGAATTTTTAGTGTGTCTGCGTCACCTATCCATAAGGAGACTAGCATTGATTGCATCAAACTCTTATCAATAAAAAGAAACACTTAAAATATTTAAGTGGATCGATTTTCCAGAGTTTTAAAATCCAGCATTTTAGTCTCCCAAATTTAACTGTTTATCTTCCTCAGTGGAAAATATTTGGTGGCAGTTAATCACAAGAGCAATTTTATTTTTTGTGTCCGCTTTTATATTTTTAAGCTTAATTGCTTAGCATTATGAACAAGCATAAAATATAACAGATTCTTCTCTGCCAAACTTTGTGTTAGAGTGTGATATGTTTGCAATACTAACTTCATAAAGAGTTACTCTGAGGTGATGAATTGATTTAAAGAGATCATTGAAAGTTACAGAAATTTGATAGCAGGATGTCTGGTGGGTGCACAGCTCAGCCAGGCAGAGGGGAGCGCCCGAGTCTGTGGGGAAGTGTATCTTGAATTCTGCAGGTGCAGGCCGTTTGCTTCAAGCTATGAAAACAACAACTTATAGCAATATATTTCAGAAAACGTGTCCAAACAGGAGAGGCCAGAGGTAGTGCATCCGAACAGAGAGGAGGAAAGGAAGAAATTGTTTCTGTAGGATGTGGCAACTGATAAGGGAATGATGGGGAGGGAGGTACCAAGGGTGGTTTCAGGGTTCCCACCTCAGATCGTGGGGAGAGGAGCTAGTTGAGAGGGGCAGGAGGAATCAGTTCTCAATCAGAATTACCCAAGAACATCCGGAACTGTTGCATGTGGCCCGTAGCTTGGCGTTTAAAACTAGCGTAGCATGGACTATGCTGGGCTCATTCCTTGATTCAGCAACAAGAGGGATTGCCAAGAGCCTCCTGCCATTAGCCCTCTCTCAAAGTTCCTTTGCCGAATTGCACTTCAGTTTTATGTTCGCAGCTTCTATTGGAAGCCGGTGCTTGAATTTCCCAGTTTGCTGTAAGCGCATAGCGCAGTGTCCCGCCCCCCCCCCCCCATCTCACTTTTAAGCTGACAATTGTGTATGGCCTGTGAGTGATGTTACAAGTATTCAAATAGTCCCTGACAGAAAAGAGGTTCTCACCCCTATCTTGGAGGATGACATGTTGCTGTGTCCCTTTAGAGTTGCAGTTTTTTGGGGGGATTGTTCACAGAATATAAAAATACTGTATGCACCTGGTGGAACATTTGAAAGTCAGTAAAAGTATATTTACATTCAATAAGGTTAAATTCCATCCTCATTCCTGAACATACATGCTTACATTTATTTACAATGAAATGTATGTTTTGAAACTAGATAGAGATGGTGGTCACACACCATTGTGACTAAGCTAAAAAAGCCTTGAGGTTTTCGTGTCAGCTTGCCCTTAGGGTAGAATGTCTTAGCTTTCAGTGATTACTGTCAAGATTTCATCTCTCCTTCATCCTGCGTTTTGCTGCATCTTTGATTTTACATGACATGATTATAAGCGACACCAAGAAACTTAGCT